ACACACTGGCAATAAACACAGAAGTATCTTATCTTATATAATTGGATGTGATTTTATACTACAAACTTCAAGCAGATTTATATCAAAAACTGTGACATTTGGCATTCAACTAAATTGATAACAAGTAAGATGTGGTCTTAAATCTACGCGCAGTACAGACTTGCCCGAAAAAAGTTACTCTACTTTAATTCAAAAGAATTTATGATACTGAATTGGCGATGTTCGAGTAAAACTGATTAAGGAACAAATTATCGAAGCCTATATCTATAGAGTGAGTAGTCGTATAATCATGTACATTCATTCGGTAGTTCGTGCACTGATATTAGCAAAACCGCGGTACTGTATAAACAAACATTGACTGTGCCAAGCAAGGCGCAGGCGCTTCCATAACTATGGTTTTTGCTCGTCGCGTGACTCGCTTCTGGGCAGTAAAAAATTATAGTAACTTACAACAGTAGACAAAAAAAAATAGTTTAATATTTCAATATCTGATAGCGCTTTCGAGTGACTGGCCAAGTGCCAATCAACGATTTATTATTTACACGGATGGACAGAAACGCCCACTGGGTGGTCGCCTTTTATTTGATAGAGAGAAGCATTAATTTTACTCGGAACAAATGCTGTATTGTACGGTATGGCTACCGTAATTGAAGCTAAAAAAGGGATTCAATGACTATTCAAGAGGATATTGTTCTTTGTGTGCCAATTAATATAAAGCTTTAAAAGCGTGTCTTCGCTTTGACGCACAAAATCGGCTTTCATTTAGACTAAGTATCATTAACTTTTATTAATAATCAGCTTTATATCTGATCATCAGAATGTTATGGTGCTTTTATTGTCTATGCTGGGCATACGTTACTTGGTGTATAAAATAGCATAGGCATTTTAGATATTGCTCCGTCCATCCGTAACGAAGTGAACGGTGTCGATTGAAAGGGATACCCACCAAACGTGTCAGTGTAATCTTTATCTTTACTTAAATGATTGCAACGTCTGGCGCCCTGCATGAGGTGGTGTGTATCTGACAAATGCATAGTTTAATTAAAACGAATGAGTCAGTGGCGCGGGCCCGTGCTGATGAATCACACACAAGTCTGTCCAACGTCGTCACCCGACGTAGACCATGTACGGCCTGCGAGGACGTCGATCTACTGCCACTAGCAAACGACGGTTGCATAGCAAACTTCGAAATGAAGGGTTAGCGAGAATTGTCTCTTTACTATTGGTTGTGTTAAAATAGTTTTTGCATACGTATTGATTTCTAAGTTTTTTTACCATTAATCGACGTCGCAACGATTACTTGAATTTAATTCAAAGAGCAAGTTCCTTCTCAATAATGACAGGTTTCCACTTTTAATTTGAAATTTTCTAGCTTTCGAATCGAGCCTTGAGGAAAACTAAGTGTCTATTTCCGAGTATGCCTTGTATTCGGTAAAATTTACTGGCATCCATACTAACGACTTATCGACAGAGTGTCCGTGGACTCAGATTTATCGGTACAGTATGATCGTAACGATTTCTCGTAGCGTGTGTGGCTCCTATAAGAGAAAAGGTGGTTCTTGAACGTTCAAATTTATTGGTAAGATACAGTATCTTAGAAGAGTACCTAATCACTTTGAAAAATTTATATATAAAAGTATAAAAAAAACATCTAAAAGTAAATTTCACTAGATGTGCAATTTCATTAGATTATTAAAAATTGACAGAAGTTTACATGAACTTAGATATCAAAATAACCATGAATAGTTAAAAATAAACGATGTTTTATTAATTCCGAATAACTGTATTGCATTTAGGTGCTGCATTAATGGCGGGCTTACCCCTTTATTTTCTACCAGTCAACTAGAGAATAAGATACAAATAAGGTATATGGCGGTAGATAGAATACATACGGTACATCAGAAATGATAGTTTGTTATCCACCTTTTGGCTGTTTGGGTGGATGCCTGAACATTGATGAGAATACGCTCTGTAGTAGCGAAAAGTAACAAGTGCTTGAAAGATTCGTCAGTCCTGTTAGGTCCTGGGTAGCTCAGTGGTTAGATCAGTCGCCCGGATTGGGAAAGGTCGTGGGTTCGATTCCCACCTCAGGGTGCCAGGGACCAAGTGGATTTTTAAGCATTTTGTATTAAGAATAACTTTCAGTATGGCACTGTGAATGCAAAATTAATCAAAGTAAAATGATAGTTTTATTGAACTTAGACATATTTCAAAGTACCAAGCGACATTCTTTTATTTCTAGAACTCACATTTTACAAATACCTACATGCCTGATGACGCACGAAATGTAGTACGCAGCAAATAAATAACTACAAAAATTGGAAAAAACATTAACTTTTTCCTTTTCTGCATTTATCCGTTTCTTATAATTCATATTTTTACAAGGAAATATTTGTCCACTCGAATACAATTAATAAAACGAAGACTTGCCGTGATTAATCTGATTTACTTAACCTTAATCAAAAGAGAACGTAAGCCATTTATGTTCCAAACTTCATCTAATTGTATTAATTAAAGGTTATTACTTATACCGACTGATATATTAATATTGACTTTAAATATTTTTATCTCTTTGTCACGTAAACCCAGAGGTTTCAACTGATCGTACCAGATCAAAGAACACATTTTGGTTATTGATTTTTAGATGTTATGAATTTTAAGTTTTATTTGATATATTTTATAAGGATTTCATTTTTTTATTTTTTTTTTATGGGATAGGGGGCAGACGAGCAGACGGATCACCTGAAGGTAAGTGATTACCGTCGCCCATGGACACCTGCAAGAGAGACCAGAGGGGCTACAAGCGCGCTGCCGGCCTTGGAGGGAAGGGTTGAGGGGTAGAGGGAAGGGAATAGGGAGGGGTTGGGCCTCCAGTACCCTCACTCACACGACGAAAGACAACGCAAGCGTTGCTTCACGTCGGTTTTCTGTGAGGCCGTGGTATCACTCCGGTCGAGCCGGCCCATTCATGCCGAAGCGTGGCTCTCCCACGGTTAAAATCATAATCATGCTTCTCGAATCATCATCATCATCATCGTCAGCCTTTTATTTCGTCGCCACTGCAGGGGCTCAGGCCTTCCTTATGGATGGTTAAGAAGCATGGGCCATGACCCTCCACGCTGGCCCAATGCGGATTGACGGGTATTAACGACTACAAATGCAGCCGGGACCAACGGCTTAACGTGCCTTCCGAAGCACGGAGTAGCTCGATATAATAATTTTTTGGTCACCCATTCCGTGACCGACCCTTTCAAAAGTTGCTTAACGACAACAATCGCGTGCCGCGGCGCATATCCACTACGCCACCGAGCTACCCGAGCTACGCCACGATGCTTCTCGAATATTTGTCTTGAATACTTAAATATTTTGTCAGATAATATAAATTGGTAACCTTTCTAGAAGGATTCATGATAGTAGGTCGAGAGAGCCACCTTTATGCCACAGTCCAATGTGACAACATTTACAATTAGGGAGCCTCTGACGCAAAATATGACATATAATATATTAAGAGTAAGGGCTTAACGTTTTATAAAATAACAATATTATTTGTAGTATTTATATATTAAATAAATGAAATAACTAATTAATTTAGGATTAAACTAGTAGGAAGAATAAATATATATTAATGTAGAGGTGAGTCAAGTTCATTGATAACCTACTTTTTATGTACTTCCATGAATTTAAATTTAGCATTTTAACTAATTTGAAAAACATTTCGCAAATTCTAGTGAAGCGTAGGCTTATAAAGTTCCAGACTCATTACGACATGCAAACTCTTCAAAGACCTCTTGTAAGATGTGGGATGTATGAGGTATTAATAGCGCACTCGTGCACTACAAATTACCCCGAATACATGGTTTAGAAAAGTGTCAGTTCACATGTTACATCCAGTAGATACATAGAAATCCAAAACTCAACTTCCTTTAAAGTATAAAAATATAACTTACCAGAATATCTACAAGGTATTTTTTAAAGTAAAAGTTATATTCAATTACGAAGATACACAATGGAAAGAAAACTCCAATAGACAAACTTTTGAATTTATCAGCCCAGTAGAAGGTTTAATAGACTGTTCACAATTCGCAGTGCTTATAAACGGAACGATTTATCGATAAATTGTTATAAAAGTCAGGCATAGAATCCAAGATCGAAAGGCATCGAACAATGACGGTGGGCGCGCCGCTTCGGATAATACAAAACTGGAACTTTGACTCATCGCAACAACTTATACGAGAAAGCTATCTTCAGCCGTTTTAATTGCAAATCGACGCACGTCACCATATATCATTCGCGCGGTACAAAATGTAGTGAAAGTTTTGCTGTACACCCTTCGTCGATGTATTCGAAGAAATTTTAAATAAATTCAGGGGATATAAAAATAATTTCTGACTCTTCGATGTTCACGTAGCCGAATTAACTGGTAATTTATAGTAAGTGTCCAAAATCGACAGTTGCCATGCAATTTAAGACCTCATAGTTGCATAATATAGTTATACAACGGCGGATGGAGTACCCAAGTTTGCATCGTACATCGCCCTAGAGCATTTTGTTGCGTAAGTTCCAAGCCTAATAATACTTTACAAGCTCGGCGTAATTTATGGCGATTACCTGGAATTATATATATGCCCAATACGGTAACAGACGTGAACAGTATTCCCGATCAGATGATTCAATGGTATTATTACGGTGTACATAGTTCATTATGAGACCAATTACGTAGATACATCGACTCGATAGGACAAATAATGGCAGCAGAATTTTACGCGTGATAATTTAATTTTTATACGTCTCGCTGCTAAACTTGTTTCTTAAACGAAGTTTGATGGTTGCATGAGCCAGTTAAAGGAATTTTATTACAAAGATATTGGATTCGTTTTGGGTTGTCTCCCCGCATTTGTGTAGTGCAAACCAGCCTTATATCTTTGATCGTGGAGAGGTTGCACATCCTACGCGGCAATTTGCACGGCAGCTGTGTACGTCCGCTGAATTTATCACCGCCTTCAACTTGATCTGTAATGTGGCTCGTCGACACCGCGACCGCCGCGACCGGCCGCTCGGAAACCTCCTCGAAATAGCCGTTTTAATCTGACCTTCATTACTATAACAGAAAACGATGCCGAACAGATTGCACATTTCTAATAATAAAGATAACCAAATGGATCTTCGGCTATAGATTTCTTAGTTTCATTTATGAAAATGTTCAAGCACGTCTTTGGGAAGCACGACATAAGGAAGTTAAGTTTTATTATGTTAAATATTAGTTGGAGTAGTTTATATCTTGTGTATGTATAGGTAAACGATCTGGCATTTAGATCCAATGAGCGCTTCGAAGCTGTTACGGGCCATTGGTTTCACTCAATGCCACAATATCTAGCTAGCCGCTTGCAGCTCGGCCATAGCGTAGGCTCGCGACTAAACAACTTGCCTATTGCACGCTCGTAGTATAGCTCATCGGCATTCCGTCCGCTGATCGTCTACCACGACCTTATTAGTACGGACTTGCGTTGTACCGAGAAAAGTATTATTTGCGACAACGTGTCATTCTATCACGTTTTATAGCCCCCTTGTAACCAAGTTATTTCAGTATAAATCACGTATTTACCGCAGATATTCTTGTTCTTGTTGTACTTCTTTCTTGCAGACAAAAATGTAACAGGTATGGTTTGCTTATTTGAATAGTTTTGTATAGAAGATTAGATTTAATTTTCTTTATTATACATTTTCTATGAAGTAATAGGTACTACGGTACCCTATGTGAAGTAGTCACGTAACATGGAATCGACCTCAGATCATTGCACCCAGTTTGAGTCACTACCTTTCTCTCGTCTACCGGCCGTCTGGCCTCGTCGTCATGGTCAACTAAAACAGATGCGTTAAACGTTTGTAAAATCTATAATATTGCTGATGCGAAGTTGCTTTTACATTCTCTAAGCATCTAACTCTTAGAAGAACATTTCATCGATGGTAAAAAAAATCGAGTAATTTCACAAAATGCGAAAAATTTTACATTTATAAATGCATAATAAATGCAAATATGCATTATAAAACGATGAGCAACTGAATTTAAACATTTAAGATACGTATTTTTTTTCCATGACAAAGGAAAGTGAGTGTGGTAAGTTTTACTCACCAATTACTATAATAATAAGTTAATAGTGCTACATTTACAGTTGGAAATCTTTCCAATAGTCATTAATTCGATTTCGGGTTTCTTAATTTATAACACTCTTGCTGTTGCCATTTTATTGTTTATAACAAATTGATCGAATTCACAGATAAAGTTACCAGTGAGCTACATTGGAATAAAAATGTAACGTGGCTATCGATGGATATTTATACTTAATCGATATTATTAAACAGCTATGAAACCGATACAATACATAAATAAAATACACACGATCTAGATTAAACCAACGCCCTGCTTCCAAGCTACTCGTACAATCAGGTTTAACACGAACACACGATATATATTTGTGTTAATTAGTCATTTATTTATTTCAAATTATAATGAGAATTTGTACCACCTTTGAAACCGAGTGATTAGCACTCATCTCACAAGGTATCATATACGTACGGCTCAGAAATTTACGATACTCACTTTGATCTCAGAGGGTACAAAACTTTGTTAAAGATTCGTGTAACAAGTACTTTCGATTACATACTTGTTTGAGCTTTATTATCGTTTGAAGTTAATCGAGAAGCACACGACATGAACAGAGCACAACATAATGGATCGGAAGAATAAGACATGATAACATGTGAAAGAGCCGGTGTCTGTAAACGAGAAAATGTCAGCTGGTGTCCATTATCGCCACCCAGGCCACCGCTGTGTCCCTATAATATTACGCAAATAGGAAATTTCCAGACATTTAGACTAGACTCAGGCTCGATTACTATAATAATAGACGGTCTGACAGCCAATACAACTTATTTGTCATAGGTCAAGGATTGAGGGACGTCTTTTATTTCTTGATTGACATTGGTCCTGGAACAAATGGATTAATTTACTGTGATATAAAGGACAAATTGTAATAAAGGACAAATTCTACATTTGTTATAAAAACCCGATTACTCAAAATCGGCTACGAGAGAGCCGGATTTGGGGGTAGTAGGTACACACAAATATTTACATTTCAACAGCATAATTTTTTTAGGTTTTCCTGTACGTAATCCATAAGCAGAGCTATTTCGTGTTTTTCTGTTTAACATTAGTTTCGGAAAATCGGCGAAAATTCATAATTTCTTTAGGAACGATAAACTTTCGCCCAGTTTTTTAATAAATAAAAACCTACTGAATTCAAAGTTTTTTTATTTTTTATTATTGACATCAACTATATAAAATTCAGTTTAAAATAAATGACTATTATCGATAGCTCAGTATAAGATAGGAAAATCTGAGGGAAGCATGAGTAATACAAGGGTCGTCAGGTGCAAGACAACTTATATTGACAAGTGAACGATTTTAAAATATGGAACATCAAAAATCTAATACAAAATCTACAAAGAATATATTTCCAAAAAGATTAAAAAAGGATAAATTATGTACAAAAAGGATATTATTCATAACAATAACTTTATTCATTCATTCAAATTAATTCATAGCCCTGTATTTATTACCGTGTCCAAATGGCATATTAATAGACGTACTGCTTCAGTATGGTAAACAGTGAAGTGAAATTTTTCAGTGATCTGTAAATGTTGATAAATTTCTAAACCAAAATTGTGGAAGTTAAGCAAGTTTTGCAAAAGTCATGAGATGAGTGACCAAAAAATATCTGAAGCTGCTCCGTGATTAAGGAACCACACATTAAACTATTGGTCAAGTTTTTGCAGTTTAGCACCCAGGAATCTGCACTTAGTACTCGTAATGGTTTTTTTATTACATAGGGAAAATACACGTCAAATTTTTAACCAAGGCTTCGATCTCACACCTGTCCTGAAAAGGAGAGGCTTAATGTGAGCCCGGCTTACCAAGTAAACCCGTTCCCGGAATGCAGCAAGGAGCCCGCCGTGTCTAGCCCTAAATTGGTTTAGAACCTGTTCTCCCTATTGATTCCACTCTTGGGGGAGATATATGCCTCAGCAGTGGGGACAGATGATGACGGTGATGTGTGTATCTAAACTACAAATTTTCACGCTAGTCTCGTTAGCGTCCCAGGAAATTCGCACCCATTAATGTAACTATCCAAACATTCTTACATACCCTTGTTATTTTAGGCATGTGATTGTTAATATATTGACAAACAACAGACTACATTCTCGTTTAGCAGACATAATATTATTTGCAAAAAGTAAAAAATAAAGAGCTTACTTCACTTTCTTGAAACACAAAAAATACAAGTCTTAGAGAGTAAAAGACGTCGTTTAATAAATACCCTCCATAGTAAGTGAAAGTAAATCGGTTTGAACCTTTTAATAAAAATGGTAGTCCACTCCCAACGAGAGTATTACAACAGAGAATGCAATAATTACTTACGTAATTGTAATGTTACAAAAACCTTTAAACTGAGAAAGTGTAGTGTGAGATTTAATAATTAAAAATAATTAGATTTGCCATCTTGCCATTTACCACATATAGTGTGCGAGATAGATACAGATATTTCTATAATAAAAGCTATTAAGAAAAAATGTCTTTTGTTTCGTATGATGCGGTCAATTATTATTGTGATTAGTTATTAATAGTGGGCAAAACCAAGAGCATGAACTGCCAGAAGGATAAAATTAACGTTTATATAACTAACAAGTGAAATATTTCAGGTTATTGTTGCACATTCAAATTACACATTTACACAAATCAATTGACAAAGTTTAGTAAGAAAATTAATTAAGTTGCCTGGATAATATCGTTGGAACAGCTAAGGCGGAGCATTTAGAGGAGGATGAATATTTCTAACGTTATTGTTTGTGTGTTTGTCGGAATTTGTTTATGTTTTTCTAAGGGTACCTTTAATCTTCGAAAATATTGATCTGATCAAGAACATTCTTTACACGCGGGTGGATTGAGCTATAATTTAGGCTGGTGAAGTCCCGGGAAAACAGCTCGTTAGTGATAATGTATACTATCTTAACTTTATAGTGTTATATTGAGAGGTTCATAAATGTCTTTCTTTCTTTTCTAATATTGTTCAGTCCTATACTTACGGTGTATATCTTAGTAAGCTTTTCAAGTCCGTACATGGATAAGCTTTCACTAGTGCAAAACTTGTATCGGCGCTAGGTAGCCATTGCAAAAACAATTTTAAACTTTCTTCCAATGGCACCGCATCATACATGTGGAGTATTTTCACTTTCAAACAAAAAAGTAAACCAACAAAAAATGTCCAATAGAGCTTCATAACTGTGTCACTGACCTTCGAATGAAAGTGTGCTAACGGTAACAATATTATAATGTACATTTGAAAGTTGAAATTTTGGACTCTACCGCATTAGAATAGAATACCGCCGGTGGCATGTTGCCGACAGACAGTTGCGAATAAAAAATGATAGTAAAAAAGAGACAGATAATAATTTATGATGATGAATGACTCAATGAGTGGATACTAGTGTCGATGAACGCTACAACTAATCTCAAGGAAGATCAAAGGAAGTAGAAATTTGGATTGTTTGCTTTCAAAGATCAATCTATTTCGAAAGTCACAATAGGATATTGTCTGATATTATTTACCTAAATCTACACGAGTTTTATGGGTGAATGAAAATGTAATATTAACAATACTGTCTCATTTGTAAAGAAAAAGTAATCCGCGGGAGTGTGGGTGGACTTAAAATTAAAACTGACAATAAATAAACCTAGGTCAAGATATGACCTGCTGACGAAAACGTTGACCTCACCGTCGCGAGGTCAGACGGGAATAGAATCTAGGAATATCGGTTAACGCACAAAACATTCTGCTATGCAACTCGATATCGATGACGAAGGTTTGCACGCTCCGCTCTGACCATCCGTACATAATAATACACGTGCTTATCCGATCTTTTGTATACTAGTAAATAATACATTGTTATCTCATTTACTAATAACTGCGCACTGAGGAAGGAGTTTCCATTGCTAACAAACGATCTCGCAGACTTGAACAAACAGAATATTACCTACTTATAGAAATAAATGTTGTCTAGTGAGGTTATTATGACGTGGTGTATTGTTGTATTACAATTACTTAAGACGTAATTAATGTTAACGATATTTCACTTTTAAACATTCATTTCAACATGCACTATTATTCAACATACTTCTGTAATTCACTACAGGTTTTCTCAAAAGATGGTTTGATCGATATTTATCGGAAATTATTCGCAAATATTAAATAAATACCTGGCGGGTGAGGTACGGAATGCAGTAGCGAGGTATGCTTAAAATACCGACGACACGGCGAAATATGGAATTCACTTATTGCCGGGGATTTCGTTCACGACACAAAAAATTGACATACGGGAGAAAGTACTTACACTTTTTGAAGTGAGATTGAAATTATTTTGATAATTATTAAAGAGAAATGCTTGCAAAATTCACCAGCCTCGCTCGCTGGGTTGGGTGTTTTTTTTTGGTTTTAATGTGGGTGTTATAGGACTTATTATTATGGAATAAATTACATTGCACTAAGCAGATGTTCAGTGTAATGACATGACACCGACACACTATGTGATAAAGTTTAATAAATACCTAATAACGATTTTCGTCTTTAAGATATCCGAGGTTACCTACGGTTCATCTATAAAATATAATTTATTTGTAAAAGGTTTACTTCATCTAAATTCAAAAACCTTACATCAATCAACAGGAGCTTATTGAAATTCGTTTAATGAAATGAGGAGGAAAGAAGAATCTACATCGGAAACTGTTAAATTTGATAAAAATGGTATAGATGAGGCCCTTATGTCTCTTTCAAGTTTCATATACCACCTGGTGGTGGTGGTTTGTTACTCTAGTCATGCTTGTCGGTGCATAAGATAAAGTTTTCGACAACAAAGTGACATTCACAGCTAATGTTGCGTGATTTTTCAGTTTCGGGTTTTATCGTAATTTCAAACACCTCGTTTTCTAAAACGGACGCACAAGATTGTGTACTTGTGAAGGACCTGCGCCTGCGCAACGGTTAGTCTCATTTGCGCAACCAGCCTGGTAATTTTTGCTTGGTGCAAACCTAACGGAAAATCCATCGAGCGTATGACAGAAGTATGTTAGTACGCGACGGATGATCCGCCAGGTATCAGAACCACAGCAAGGGTCAATATCGTACCATCATAATATATCTGTCAATTCTCACAACACGCTATATCTTCTGTTAGATATGCATCAACTGTTACCTACTATGCTAAAACCTCAATGTCCATGTAAATATTACCTGTAATTTGAAACCGAATTGCTATAAAATGATAAAACAGCAATAACACTTTAGATCATTCAGGAATCGGAAATTTCATTATTTTACTGTGTAATTTTTTTATACTCCTAGCGTTAATGCGTGACGTCATTCAATCGTCTTGTCAGCTGAATAATTTATCGCATCGCCATTTTAAACAGATGAGCGTAGCATGCTTTCGAGAGTATAAGCGTATAGTGAATCATCGGCTTTCATGAATGTTATAGTTCGAAAAATCTCTAATAACGCCAGTTTCCTTCCGCTAACTACATTTAGAATTTCAGGCCTTAAGCTTTAGGCCTAGAAAGCGATAGTCATTTTGGTTGCGCAAGATTCGAATCTGCTAAGGTTGTTGACCGGCGACGTGACGACGCGGGGAAAGTCGGGTGCTTAGCGAGACAGTGCTTAATTAGTCGTTTGTGCACAGCCCATTGGTCCCACGAGGCTGATAGAGATCGAGCTAGCGAAGAAAGA